TTAAGGACTTTAAAAGGTGAATTTAACAGTGAGCTAAACAGTATCTGAAAGAGGAGTGATTAGCAAGTCTCACTTGGATGAACTGGGGTTAACACAATCTTAAATCTATTCGAATTGAATTTGCACATGAGTATTGGAAAATCTGGTTATGGCATGGAGGTGCAGTGATTAGCATTGCTGCTTAATTCCAGACCTAGGGTGCTATCTGATACACAAAACTGGTCGTGGTGTGTGTATCTGTGTTTGTGTCTATGTGTGCCCTTTGACGGATAGGCATCCCATCCAGGGTGTTTCCTGCCTCGTGCCTGTTGCTTGATGGGATAGGCTCCGGATACCCCGTGATCCTGAACTGGTTGGAGCAGTTAGAAATCAGATGGATGGTTATGTTGTAATGTACCACAGAACAACTGCATTTCAGCCAATGCACGAACGATGACACTAAGGTTTTCAGAGTCAAGCTGTTCAAACTAGCTTTTTGTTCTTCCATCCAATATGCTTTCAATATGCTGTGAAAGCCATACTGAGGCTTGAAGCCACTCCAGTACAGTTCAGTGCACCTGAGAAAACCATCTCCTTCACTAGACCACTGAGTTAACTCATCTGAACAATCAGAAAGAACTGGCTGTGCCAATGCCAATGGCTAGACTGTAAAGCCTGATACATAGGTACGGTTATATAATTTTTACTGTGCATTTAAACACAATCTCGAAAATGCATAATACATTTGGAGCACTAAACTCCCATTACAGAATTTTTCCACAAAAAAGAAACTCCTACCAGTAAGGAAGAGAAACAGAAAAACTCCACAAAAATCTAACGCACCAACACTGAAAATCAGATCTACAGTGTGCTTAAGAGGAAACCCACAGAGCGCCTCCACAAATCAGGGCGATTCGGTAATTGTGACCTACTTCACAGATAAACGAATGGGAGAAACGATCCCTTCAGTGAGGGACACACAAAAATACATTTTCCGCCTTCAAATTGTAAAATGAACTAGTTGCTCGATGAGCATTTTCGTTAGCTACCAAAAGATGGTGTATCCGTTGTGCTTTTAAAGGCATGTGTATTTCATGAAATCAATAACTCTTGCAGCAGGTGACGCAAAACGTCTAATGCCAGTACTCTGAAGACTCACAGCAACTGTAAAAAAAAAGCGTGCGTTTGAACTATTATAAGGTATGCCATACAATATATTATGCACTAAATAGGACAGGGAATCGGTACCATCCTTAATTCATCTTGCTTCGGCAGAGCTTTGACGTTATAAGGCACTACATGCCCATACATGCCAAAAGAGATTTTTTGAATTTCCTAAACACCCCCTTCCTTTCTTATGCATTTTAATTAGACGTAAATATTTCTTTGTTCTTCAGAAGACACGTTCAAAGGTATAATTAACCCTCCTGAAATTTAACATTTTTTAAATAAAAAAAATGTCTGCCGTCATTAGTTGACCCGTGGTTTGTTCTGCAATTGTTTCGAGCGAAGGTCTCAAGTAGGCTACAGTCAAGATTTCTTGGTTGAATGGATGTCCCACCTAGATTTTTTCTATATTTATTACGCCGTAGTTAATACTATCTGTGCTTTGCTTCAGAAACCGGCATTCAGAATCGCTTTTAATCAACATTCTCCAAACGCGAAATCACGCGCTAGCAACATCGTGCTGAACGGATACTGAGAAGGGGATCACAAGCAAGCGCTACCCCTTATCGAAACAGCATCAGTTTATTTTCTGTGTAGTGTAACAACCTTCAGATATCCCACCACACCCACTTATAATAACTGTTTCTGAGACCAAATTATTATAATCTCTACAGAATTTCTCAAGATAAATGTACACAGTCGTACTGAAGCTGTTCCCATCGTATATTTCAGACAATAACAAGCATACATAAATTCATATTGAACCGCTATATGCAGAAACAACGGTCCTATGGCCTATATGCATTTACTCCCTTTCATTTAAACACTACCTACTCTTGCATTTTGCAGTTTTGTAAATCCCTAACACTTATTTCTTAAAATAACTATCGGGTTATCGTTTTGTTGGCACTATTTAAGTATACAGACATAAATCGATAACATAGTATACAAATGTAACGAGACATTGTGCTGTTTAATTGCATTAGTATTTATTTCAAACTAGGAAGTAAGAAGCAGACGACTGCTTGTGCCGCAGTTCAGGAAGCTCAGCTGGTTAGCAGCAATAGCTAACAAAGGCCCGGCCGCTAAATTAATACACTTGCAAGGTCTTAGGTAGAAATTACAACTATGATTCAACGAAGGTGAGCACGGCAAAACGTTTCTCTCCCTACCGAAGCGTGGGGCCGACGCAGGCAGTGTCTGTGCTCTCGATTTCCTGCAGGATACGTTCATGCTCGGTGATACTCTCCAAGGTTGCAGTCTCCGCCATGTTTGTTGTGCTCTCGGTGACAAAGTGACACTGCGGGGAACGAGAGTGCTGCCTCTAGTCGGCGCTAGGGGGCGAGTCGGCGGTGAAGTTGGCAGCAGGTGTTCCAAAGGGGAAGAATTGATTTTGCTGGATTAAGCATGTTCAGAGTATGTAGCCTATGTGTTCTTACCTGCTTCAAACATAAAATCATGGACCGCCATACACATGGTGATTCACATTTGCAGAAAATAAACATTCCCATTTAAACAAAGACTTATGCTTCGTTTGATTGGTTGTTGAATGTTTTCATTACAGGGCTACCTTACAGTATTTATTAATGTTTGTCTCATGTAAATTGGCATCATATTAAATTATCTTTTTTTCAGAGTGACGTGCACTCACACATATGCACCCTTTTTCTCTCAAATTGGAAATACTCTAACGTTTCATAAAATGTTATTTACTCAAGTAACAGGGCTCTGGAGAAAAAGAACATCCTGGGAACGTTAAAGAACAGTAAAAGGAAAAGAAAACACAATGTGCTAGATGTTGAGTACTTCAGATGTGTGAATATGGCATCACACACGAAACGTGTGGTTTTGTCGTCTTTCTTTTCACTTCACAGTGTGGAGTTATCCTCGCCTTGCTCCACTGCGGTGAAAATAATATGTAGCACAGAACAAAAAAAATGGATCACAAGAGGATTCCTTATTTCTGTATTCAGTGTATAGTACGGTTAGATTAAATGATGCTATCTTAATGTTTAAAATTCCATTCCAATCCCTTGGGAAGAAATACATTTTTTACCTACTAAGAAAAGAGAAATAAACAGTACATTGTTCTTGTAAGAGTATGGTCTGGTCAGTTAGAAACAACAAAAATACTTGTCCCTTGGTATAATTAAACATGATAGGGAAAATAGTGGCGAAATAGATCTCCTTAGACACATTTCAATGAAGCGTGTTTAACCCGAATCGAGTACAACAGCCTACAACCCGTAACATGTTCGTTTTCTTAATTTAAAAATGCGCAATAGCGGATATTATATTAGGAAAAATCTCAGTTTAAGAGTGATAGTAATTGAAGGACAGCGTACTTTTGTTCGAACGTCCTACCAGGAAACACGACAGTTTATTCGGTTTAATTATTACTTCACAGAAGTTCACAGTCCATTCCGTGACTCTTACTCTATTTTTCTATTTTCCTAAATGCGGCTATTGTTGAAAAGAGTTGCCATTTAAGTTCCAGGAATAACAGACACGAGCACACACTTAGCATTTTATTTTCTTTCCTGCTTTTAACTTTAAAAATGGGTTTAAGATCCCTACCTTAGAGTTGTTCCCAAAGGTAAGCCAAGTGTTTCTAGTTCTGCAAAAAAATTTTCATACACTTTATCTTCTCGATTCTCTTCCCCCAGGACACTGGGTGATAGGGACTTAATGGTTTTGTTGGCCATTGCGAGCTTTCAGAATAAGAGAAGGAGTTTTGGTGAGGGCTGGATAGCTTTCCTGCTGCGGTCAGCAAAATCACACAGCAGAAGAAAAAGCAATGTCCTTGTCATCCACAACCCTCCGAATCCAAGAATCAAAATCTTCGTTGCTTATTTGTTTAATAACTATCTTAAATCTCAGTTAACTCTTAAATGTACTCATCCAAAAATTAGGAGAAAACATAGTCATTGTCATTGTAGGGATTGTGCTGAAATAGGAGAATAAGTAATCGTTTCTGTTTCTCTATAAGTAATCTTATTCTCAAAAATACAACATTTTCTTTGCATGTCTTATCTTATTTCTACTTAATTTCAAAATGGACGTTGTATGGTTATTAAACATGAACCTCGGGAGGCAGCTACTGTATAATCCCCAAACTTTATAAAAGCGTATATTCGTTTTTCCTCATAAAATTTGGTATTTAATCCCTAACATGTCTGATGCTTTACACACATATACATGACTTGATTTTGTTCACTGTAAAACATACTACACAATAGGTACAGAACCGAGTAGGTGATGTAAGCAAATTTACATTTATCTTTAATCTACATTTTACTGATTTTCAAAAGAAGCCCTAACAATGGGGGTTTCCTTATTGTACCGAGAAAAACAAGACATGCGTGTAAAGGAAACGTTTCTGGAGCACAGGAACACCGCGCGGCTAGATCGTATTGTAAGTTGGAACTCGTGTGCTGACATTCTCGCAAAGGTCATTTATCAGGCGGATACAGTGTCAGCGTTAATGATAAATCAAAGAAAAAATATCCCAGTAAAGCCAGGATCCTCGAATCCTGAACATTGCAGGTCAGGGCTTCCACGTACGCCTGTGGATAACATTTCTTTCTTCTTCTGCTTCAACTCTCCTCACACCCCCCTCTCCCCTCATTCCTCCTCCACCACCACCCCAAACCTTTCTGAAACGCAGATTATGGTATCACAGGAAACTGAAACCCCCTCTCTTTTCTGATCAGATAAATGATGCAGATATTTTTGTTAACTCTTTCCATCCCCCGTTTGGACTTTCATTGTCTCAGAGCTTTGAAACTTTGAGGTTTCAAAGTTTCAAAGGTTTCAAAGTTTATGAAACGCTGATCTTGGGGTTTTGTGGAACTATGTTAGCCACTCTTTTGTCACATGAGTCACAATTTAAAAATGTGATGTTATCCTTAACTCATTCCCTCTAATGGCTGCGTCTTCCCGGTTGATATCCCGGTACCATCTGGTGCAAAGCCGAACTATACCCATGCAGGACGACAGTCCATCGCAGGCCACAAACACAATTTCGATATCCCAGATCGCAATCCTTTGGAAAGAAACCGGAATATGTGGAGGATATCCAGGCAGACAAAGGAATAACAGCAACTTTTGCATCTGGACCCCAGTAGGAATCGAACCAAAATCCTAACCGATCGTGACAGTCTTGCCTCCTGAACAGCAGCATTAAACCTCACGTATTAGCAGTAGGTGTCTGGTACCAAACTAAGGTATGAAGGTTTAACAGCCTTGACACTGACGAGTTGGCACTTTGAAATAGGAGGAAAGACCCTTACCTGCGTTAGCAGATTACGGAAGTTTCAATTTGAAATAATTAGCCTTTCACTCAGAAATATTATTTGAGCATTTATAATAATTGCGAAAATATGTCTGCATATGACAATATTTTGTAAAATTAAAACGCCCAGTACATTGCATGATTCAAATATTTTGTTGATAGATTTATATTTTCAAAATAATCTTGCATTTATAGGGAATACAATTAGAAATTTTCTAATTAATGGGAAAACCCCGATCTATTCTTTTCACATGTACATATGTAAACATCACATTAATGCATATATATTTTACTCTTTTTGTTTGATGGCTCTTGTCTAAAACTGAAAATGAAAGATCAAAAGAATAATATCTCAAACTAATCTGATGTGATGTCTTTCCTAAATCTGATTTACATTCTGCACATTCTGAATTTATCCTTCATCTGTCTCAAACAGGCAAAACAATCCTTTTCTTAAACAATGAACCCGTCTCAAGAGTCTATCCTGTCGGCTTCATTAATATTAAGGAACAACTATTAGACAAAGTGTTACCCTCTGTCTGACTAATCTTAACAGAGATTCTAAGATTGTGCAGACCTTGTTCTGTGACCAGAGCCAAAGCCCTAGACAGTTTTGATAGCTTAAGTTGCTCTTTAATGAGACAGGCCTGCATCTTCAGTGTTTGCAGTTAGTTAAGTTCAGAGTTTATTGTGTTCCCTGTCAATCTAGAGATTAGATAGTTTAGTTAGGCTCCTACTGGCCATTTAAGGTGTACTGCATTTATTGACTGTCTGGAATCAATATCAAAGCTTTGAAATCTACCTGACATGTAAATACAAGAACGTATTATTTCTTGCTTCGTGATATCTTCGCTTACCAGGTGCTGATGTCTGTTTGTGTTTGCTTGACCGCTTGGTTTAGGAGAGCCGTAGTACAGCGGCCGTCCAGAAGAGGGAGTCTGAAGAAGAGTATTCTTAGCTACCACAGCGTTTCTCATATGAAGTGCTAAATAAATTGAAACAGTTTCATTGACAAATAACAGAGATCATCATACGTAAATGTCTGTTATTGGTAGTGTGAGGTAGTACGAACTCAGGAACAAGGTACAAGAGGAATAAAGAAGAGCTGAAGAATTAGAGAGCAAAGAATTGTGGCTAAAAAGATAACATGTGGGCTATGCATTGAAGTGAGAACCTCATGGCACAGATGCACTGTGGCTTTTTAAATTAAAATATGGTGTTCACAAGCTTCTCAGTATTCCCCTATTGGCTTGATCCCATCTACTTTGATTCTCCTAGAGCTCACTCTTGAGAAAAGCTTTGACATTGCTCTACTGGTATCACAGGTCTTTACTTGAGAAAACTGTTCTCATATGGAGGGATCGGAAATAGAACCATTCGAATTGCAAAGACTGGTGCAGCAGTGTGGCATGTATTGGGGAAGATTGCCCATTATTAGACAGGACAGATGCAGTAAATCTACAGCTGGTATCAATAAACTAAAATGTCTCTCACTGTCTGCTTTGAATCTCGGTGCTGGGTCATTCCACCAGTGCCTTCTTTGCCCTTCTTTGAGAAAAGAAAATGAACAAACACTGACACTGTACGTTTCCTGTTTTGAAACTCTTTCCACTCGCAGAAGTCTCAAGAGACTCAAAGCCCCCTGAAAGGGTTTTGTATGCAAAGCTATTGTCGTTTTTGTCAAATGGCAGTGTAATAAAAAGGCACTTGAGGAACATTTAGGTCTCCTCTCTGATGAATTGCAACATGGTAAAAAGCTCTCACAGAGCACAGAGAGTCATATCTATTTTAAAGCTTTGTTTTCCAGAGAAGGGCTGGAGCACTTCAGAAGCAGTCTTACATAAAAAGTGGTTTCAATGTTTTCATTGCCATGATAATCGAGGGGCGATCTAATCCAAATATTTAACTGTGAAACAGTCTAGTGTTTAATAAAATTTATGAGAGTTTTCTAGGTGGACATTTTATCTGAGGGATTGCTTTGCCTACTGTCATACATTTTCTTTATTGCCAATAAAG